GTCAAACATCAACATTGTATATGTCGAAGAAAAGTGAGCAAATTCAAGTATTATTATAAAAATATATTTTTGATATAGGTTCACTGATTTTACAGCATTTTAAATTAAGATATAATAGATTAATAAAAAATCTCACTTGCAAAGTTTGTCGACATTTCGAGAAAGTTATGTACAATACAAGAAATCAATGGCATCGATATGGAAGATTTTGAGTGTCTGAAATTATTACATCTGAGCTTAAGAGATAGGCTGATACATAATCGGCTATCTCTGCTTTGATAGTAAATATGAAATGAAATTATAATTGCTCTTTTATTCTCCCTTAAGGTCTATATACAAATTTAATGTGTCCATAATAAAATAAGTTCACCTTATTTATTTAGAGTTAACTTTTTGTTTGCCACTAGCACGCCATGTGAACTAAATTTATCGGTACACTCTAAAAGCTATTACTCTAATTCATCCAATGCATTAAAAGCCTACTTGTTAGTTTCGCTGCGTTTTAATTGTCTTATTTGCTGGCTTCCATTTGAACTTACACCATTTTCTTCTTCCTCCTTTTCTTCTTTCATAGAACTGCCACTTTCATGCCCTTTTCTCTGATTCCCAATGCAGTAAAGGCGCTTTAGGGTAATAATGAAAAGTCTATTATGCTTTAATGGTGGTAAATCCAGATTTGACTTTGATATATCACATACGGGTAGCGTAAGGCTTATCGCAGTTGGAGTGGCACTCAAATTGCCTGCCATGTAGCTGGAAACTCTGGAACCATATTCATGTCGCGTCCACCTATCACTATGCCTTTTTCGCAGTCGGCAATGTAGGTGGTGCCTGAAATCGGTGAGTCCTTGCGCGTAGACTATAATATTGCAAATAGAATCGCATGTAAGCAGGAGATCGGCCACAGTAACCCACATAGTACGCACGTTGTTGTGCCAGTTGGATTCTAGCAGATTGGTGTGGTAGCTGAGAAAGACGAAAATAAAATTTGGAGTCTGAAATAGGCAAAAAAGAGATGCCAGTAGCAGAATAGTCTTAGTAGCTTTCATTTGATGGCGTCGGCGAGCCACGTTTGCAGTTGCTATCTCTGGCTTTCTCCATGGTGAGATGTAGCAGGCAATCATACCTGAAAGTGTCGTCACCACCAGAAGTGGCACCATTGTCTGGTAAATGAAGAATCCATACTTCTCGTACAATCCAATTATATCTTCACGCATCAAGTTGCCCAATTCTGTCCAGGTTGTGCCACCCAAAACTATAATCTGTTCAGGACGGAGATGACAAACAATGATGCGCTCGTAGAAAACGCGGACGAGGGAAGCAAGACAGGAGATAAAGATGAGATAAAGGTAATAAGTTAGTATTCGGTTACGTGCAAAGCATTTTCGCGCTCGGAGAGGAAACACAACAACTTCACTACGCGCTGAAGTTATCAGAACATTGCACCAATTTCGTGTGCAGAGAGTGAAATCAGATCCGAACACAATTAATGCATAGAAGATATAACGATGTGCTGGTCCTAATTTCATTGCGTTTGGTTTTTCAATTTCGACTGAAGAAACAACGAATTGAACAACATAGTCCATAGATAAGCATAGGTGGAAACAGACTTCGGTGAAGGATAATAACAGAAGGTTGGTACGCATCACAGACTTGCGACGTTGTTGCAAAAATACGTTCATGCAGAAAGCGTTTGTAATCAATGCCAAAAGTGAGAAGGTTAACGCCAGCACCTTGCTTGCTGGAAGACGATCGTCCCGACTCACATGACTAGAATTAACTAATCGGCTGATATTATAGAGTCGAGCTATGGAGCAGGTTCCATTGTAATGAATCAACAGGGCTCCGTTGACCATCCCTGTGCAGTTCAACTCGAATGGGCACGTTAAATCAAGAAGATGCAGAAGTTTTAGACAGTATATATAGATATAAATAAATATATATATGTATCCACATGATTAGTAGATTTATGAATTTTGTGCCAGAAGGCAAAGAACTTATTCGGCCTCGAGCAAAGTAACTCTAGGATGGACCATAATGGGCGTAAATCGAATAGAACGGTCCTAATAAGTGAAATGTACGGCAGATTGTAATTGGCCAATCAAGCCTAAGGAATGATGACCTATAGGAATTAGTTAAAATATTGTGTTTGAGAGAGTGTTGCTAAGCTAAATTGCATGCCTTAAATAATCATTGTGAATTGATATTTTATTTGGCTTTTAGACGTTAAATTGCATGTTTAACATAGCTTATAATGCTGATAAATATGTAAAATATACGAATGTCTATAAGTCGTAAACAAAGGTTGCTTCAGCAGCTCTCACCAAAGAGGACTTTATCAAAAACTATATGCATCTAGAATAAAATGCAATTTCGAAATAATAATTTGTAGACATGACGACCAAGAGTGTGTCGCCTTCTGATTGGTCGCAGTCTCCTTTAGCCTCATAATGTTGTTGGTTCGACTTTACTTTCGCATCTTGGTCGGAGCGTCAGGGAGATCTTGTGGAATGTATCTAGTCTTGTGTCCTCTGCCATAATATTCGTGAATTCCAGCATTGGACCATCGGCTGGGTAGATTCACAAACGTTTCGCCATCGTAGGCACAGAGTTACAACTTATCAAAGTGACAAGTGAAGGAAATCCTCTTGACCAATTTTCAATTCAATCGTTCTGGCATCACTCATCGCCCCCTCTCTCAACCCCACTTCATATGGCCCATCCACTTATTCACACAATGTTGTGCTCTAGTTTCCTCCAATGCCGACTAAGAGTGTGTCGCTACAAGTGGGTTTAATGAAGCTTACTCATCTCCACCACTGGTACCAGATACCTCTCGCGAATTGGCCACTGCTAAACATAAAAATCACTGTTTGGCTGTCTAAGAACTTTCCATTCTCGGCCATTCCCATTCGAGGAGTTAGAGCAGATGATACACATGTCAGTGACTGGGACTCTTCTTCCCCTTAGGCTTCAAACCCGTGACTCAATTATCCTCTCTCTCATCCCCACCCACATTGCGTCTCATTCTTTGGGGCCCTGTGTCCGGCTTAAGTTGTAAACTCTGGTGTGAGAATGCATTGCTTTACTGTTTTTCTTTGGATTGCGAAAAACACACTCCTCTCGGCTCTTAAGTTGACATTACCATCTAATCCCAGGGTACTTGGACGATGCCCCTGTTTGTGTGTGTGTGTGTTGGTTGGTTGGTATCCACCGTGATCAAGCCTGTCATCAGTCACCTCCCCTTCCGAAAATTACGCACGTCACTCGTGCACACACACACTGATGACCTCTATCTAGCCCACCTATACCTTTAGCCTTTAATCTCATATCCTACATCTCGCAGGTGGACCCCTGGGTACATTTTTTTGGCAGTCGTCTTTTCTTGACCTCCCTTTGTTCTGGATGAGCCGCTCCTTCGTGATCTCTCTTTCTGTTGTCGAGCTGTTGTCCTGAGTCCACGCATCTTCTTCTTGATATGTTCGTTGAATCTCCAAGTCTGCTTAGGCAGTACGCGAAATTATCGACGACTCTCCCTACTTCTAAGCTCCTGTTCATCGGGTTTCTTTGAAAGAGGATGTCCACAGCCTCCCTGATCTTCCCTTTCCTGGTGTTCTCTCCATATGTGGCCAGTCTTTCCGTTGCATTCCAGTCAATTGAGTGGCCGGTAATGGCGATGTGTTAAGCTATCTCCGATCTTTCGCTGTCCATCTTTCTACATAGTCGCTGGTGTTCTTTGATCCTTGTGCTGACTGTCTTTCCTGTCTATTCAGTATATTTTTGTTCACAGTCCTTGTAGTTTATGCTGTAAACTCAGGAGCACTACATTTTTGTTGACTTCTTCATGTTGCGTTGGCAAGCTGGTGAAGAGGGTTGTCCTTTCTTCAGTATTGTACGAATATTCCATTTCCCTAGTATCGGCCTAGCTTCCGAGTCAAAAAATAGTAACTTTCTGTAATAATTTTATTGCATTATTCATAATTTGCCTACACAATTTTCTAAACTGCTAGTAGATTGTGCACATGAGCTAATCAATGAAAGAACTGTGGTCTATTATAATAACGAATACAAATTCGTTTTATAGACAAGCCCCAGTTAGCTTTTAAATTCAGGATTGTTCTGTAACCCGCAGGCAGTCATGGTGGTATTTTGTAGTGTTAGCTTGTCGGAATTATGCGCTGAAGTCCCTTGTTATATCCCTCTTGGGAGTCTAGGAGAGGTTGAAATGATAGTCAAACCTGGAATGGAATGCTTTTGTGGAACAAGACTAGGTGAAATTCAATGATATCACGATGTCTACTCCTAGCACTGTGGAATCATTTTGCCATCAGTCTTTCATCAGCTTACGCGACCCAGGATAGATGAAAAACTTAGTTAAGTTTCATTGTTACCTTCGAAACCGACGTAACCTGAACGAAAGATCGTATATCAGGAAAGCTCTGGCAAAAAACGCTCTTTAATTAAACACTATTTTATTTAAGGCTATTTCAAATGATTCCCAATTTAAGGATATTTAATTAATTGACGCCATCAAAAATAACTTAAGAGAGCTAGTTAATTCGAATTCCACACTAATTATTGACGGTAAATATCATAAATTGAAAATATATGCTGTTGTTCGCTTAGGTTCAATATTAGCAAATAAAATCTAGCCATCTAAGTAACTTCAGGGGAATATAACTTACTTTATCCACAGCAAGTGCCTACTGCCAATGCAGTGCTAGTGGCAGCTAGGTCAATTCTAGTTTAAGGTAATAAATGAGATTGTAATCAAACTTAATTAATTTGCCTCATTAATGCAATCTCAAAAGTCTCAGTAGAAATCTGCTTAACTGTGAAATCTCACCAACATTAGATTGATAGCTGTGCTTCCATCATAAATTATGAACAGAAATACTGCCATTCCCTTAGTTTAAGAAAACTAATGAAAAAATACTATAAAAGTGAAAAATACTGAAAACTGATTTAATTTCCTTTAAATATGAATATCCCATTAGAGATTTAGACATTGATAAATCATCTTTCATCTACAAACTTGAATATAATTCTATTTACCCAGAATTTTGCTGCGTCATCAATCATAGAGTTACTATACAACGTCTTAAAAGTGGCAATATATGTGTATTCAAGTTCTATCCCATACCACCTAAAAATAACTCCTTTAGTCTACAAATCGATTCTTTTATTAGTTTTCAGGTAATTCCATCTCGCATTTTTAATTAAAATTTAATTAAAGTATTATAGCAAGGCAAGGTATTCGTGATAATCAATCCCTACTCTTTGTAACAACTGTTAGGTTCTTAACATAATTATTCCCCAACAGTATACTTTTATACAAATACCAAAATATACGAGGCTCAGCAGCTGTAATGGGCATACCTTTTAGCCTATGATACTGCGACCTTTCGCACGAAGTAGATACAACATGCACACCAATTAAATATTTAAGCAGGAGAACGCCCAACCAGACTAGACTTCTGCATGGCTTCGTGTTAGTTAAGGCGACTGGCCCCTGCTCTAGCGCATCGCCATTACAGCAATACGTATCGTGACATCAACCTTTACGAGGATACTCCTGGAATCCAGATACTCGTCTTTAGAACAAATTAGACATACTCTCCATTTGTGGTATCATATGAGCCTGCTTCTCTCCAGAGGATAAGAATGCGGTTCTTCGAACGCCAAATCCTCTGTAAATTTTAAGCAAGTTCCTTCTCTCTACCTCACATCGGAACCTGCGATGTGCTAGTCGGTTTGGGCCTCTTGGCAAAGAGAAGCACGCTAACTCAGTGCCAGTATCTGAATGAAGGTCCTCTAAAGAACGTCAGATTGAATCCAGAGCTACGAACGTACACCTGCGTGGCAAAGGTAAAATAAATTCACCCAAGAGCGGACTTTACGTTAATTCCGATTATCTGCGTTGTGAATCTGCAGAACTCCATACTGTATTCAAATTACTCGAGCAAGCTGTCTTGGCCGTTTATTTTCAGTGCCCCTTTTTATGACTCTTGCTCTGCTCATCCTCCATTCAAAGCTGACACACACCTACATTACAACCCCCTAGCATTTTAAGCTTTCTGATTCAAATACAACTATATAATAGCTTTTTTTCTGTTTCTAGCCCTCCTATCGGCTTTAAGAAAAGATCTAAAAAGAATAGGATCCTTAAATAGTCGAAATTTACCAGAATTCTTATTACATTTGATGGAGAATGGCTATAATACTTGAAAGTTTAGAGATGATATTTTCTCTTTACACGAAAATGTTTAACAGCTAGCCTCATTTTATCACGTTTTATTGCCTTATTGAATACAAATTTGCAATTTATAAAGGGATTTTAAACTTTAAAGAATCAGATGCAGAAAAAGTGGCATTTTTTTAAAAACCAATCGCTCTATAGCGATTGGTCAAAATGGCTAACATATTTGTATATTACATTAGCATTTCAGCAAATTATTTTAAATGTGGCTTGTTTTTATGCATACTACATTCTTTCCTCAATTATATATGCATACCCTGATATATCTAGCAGCCTTAGCAACGTGTTTATTATTAATTCCGCAACTTTTGGGCTTGAACCGTGTCTAAATGTGTGTATAGATTATTTTGTTCTTTGCTAAAAAATATTAATCATCATATTAAGCTTAGGTGGCACAAGTTTATGAAGGTCTGATAGTTGAATGAGTGAGTCGTGAATTTGATTTGGGTTTAGTTATACATTGTCTGGCCTCTCAGAAGTGTATCTCATTTGGATAGTGAAAAATATATATGTATATATTTGACTATCATTTTTATTCAGGGTTTAAATTAATTTCGCAATTATTTGAGGGAGCATTCTGAGCAGATGAAGGTAATC